TGGAAAATATTTTGACAGAACAGCATGGTTTTCACGATTTTTTTGGGTCAATAAGAAATGCGGTTACTCGAATCTGCTTCAATCATAATCGATTCTAGAAATCACTTCAGACCGTCTAAATCACACCAGTATGTAGACATAAAATAAGCCTATTTATCTGGGAAAAACCACATCAGAAGACAACAATGATGAGAACGACAATTGTAATATACCTGTGGCATTGTACGTTTTATAAACGAGCCTAGATCCACTCATAATTCGCAAATAGGGAATCCACTTGGGAATGGGGTTTGCTGCATAGGGTACCCAAATATCACAGGTTGTGCGCAGATATTGCAATGACGTCTTCTAACCAGCTGAATATGTTGAGCAGCTGAGGTGACATTAATCCATGAAGGTTGGATGTTGTTCGCTATCCGGCTATAAGCATCTTGTAGATGGCTGGGGACTGTCTTCATTCAAGGATCAAGAGAATAAACATGAACCTTGCTTGCTAATTCGATCTGTTGTGCTGGCTCATGCGGTATTTTACCTTATGTGAGGGAAATTCCGGATAATATTTTACACACTCCCCACGACAGCCAGATTAACAAGCATCCATACAAAACACCAATTGGTTATACTTTTTGTTTGAAAGCATTTTGGCAGGGATATCGTTCAATGGCGTGGCAGTGAGCTGTGGCAAAGTATAAAAAAAAACAAAATTCGTATGAAATCGAACGATTATAGCTGAACGTGTACTGAGATTTTGGAGATACTTTCCACTAGATTTAGTCGAAGGACTACGTTTGACTGTGCTTTGTTCCGTCTCTCTGAAGTTAAATCTTATTACCCTGTTGATTGTCATTGTTTTATTGGATAATCGGCGACCCCGTGTACTCTGTAGATTCAGCCAGGTATCCGGGTTGCATTCAGTCTCACTTGGATTTTGCACGCAAGAACCAATGTCTAAATGGATAAGCTCGTAATCAAAAATTCGAAATAATGAGTTGCCGGTTAGTACGACCGGTTTACATGTCAGTCCGAGTATCAATATCACGGCCGTTTTTAACCATTTCCAATTCTCATTTGCCGTGATGAACTTACATATGTTTGGCTGCATATTAAGAATGGCTACACCAATCAAAAGCCACCTGAACACGCTGAGTACAAAATTTTCCAATTAGGGGTCATGTAGCCTTGATATAAGGAATTGCAGCATAAGTCATGTACTGCTCGTTGAGTTGTGAAATGCCGTCGTGTATGTGAAATCATTCACTGGAGAAAATGCGAGCCCCACTCACGTTAGTTGCACATTTAGTGTTTACCATTGAATTGAATGATTCAAATTTCATCTCATCATGAGTAATAAGTAATGTAATTAGTACTGAACGAGCAATGATCCACACAGTGAATGGATTTGCTATGTGTTTTCACCCGATGAATAATTCACCAGTGATGTAGTTTCACTGACTAAAGGATGGGCGACGTTACAGCCTGACTAAGAGCGGATAAATCAGCCTGTCAGTTCTCCGCTGTGGACAAGCGGTTAAATTTTGCAGCTTCAATGCGCCCCACCGACGATTCCTAATAAGGATGGAAGAGTTATACATTGCTTGTCGGGTTTTCACCACAGACAGCAATCTCATACATAATGTAAGGGGGCCTATTTATACCCGCAATGATTCGTGCTGTATTCTCGAGAAGTGAATAGAACACCTTGTCTTCGTATCATATACGCCGCATGAGTGACGGTATACTATCAGCTTCCTTGTTTATCGTACCTACGCTTGCCCAACAATGTACATCGATCAACCCCGGTCTATCATCTATTATGTTGACAATGTAATTCCCCACGTTTATTATGTCCCCATTCGTAAACCCCGCCCCACTTTTGTTTTTAGTGTGTACATATGAACAGGCATTTCTTTGTCCTTACCACTTCACCTTTTTGGCCTTGAGATTATCCGGCTATGTGTATCCGACTTTGCACGCGTGACTCTCGCACGTGGGAGCCTGTTTGCTACCTTGCTTTGTACTTTTGTACGCCAAGTGGACTGTGTTTTGGACGCTTATCTGCTGTCGAGATTTGTATACTTTGTGAATTTCTCTTACACTCCTATTACCGTATAGAAACCCAGTTCCAGCTTTGTTATGCCTACTCGGTGGTTCCTGTATTATGCGTCACTCGTATAAATAGTTCGCCCATTACACCAGGAATCCTATGAGTTGAGCGAACTTGAACATTGTGAAAACGAAATCTGTATAAAGTTATCAGTATAACACCTTGATGCGGCCTACCGAACTTTACAGTGGGTGACGTCCGAACTTCGTAGCTTCTCTTCCACCATTCGGTGGATGCGTAGGCCACTTGTAACTATAAACTCTTTTTTATCGGGAATCACGGGAAGCCACGCGCCTATTCAATCCGTTCTCAATTTGGCCTCCTTTTGAACAGCTGTGTGCCAAAAGCATCAAAACTTAAATTTTCCTTCGGGAAAGTAACATGTTGTCCCGCCGTGGCCGGTCTAATAGATGAAAACGTTGTTTCCAGGTCCGCTGCAAGTCATCGGGAAGTTTAAGGCCTTCTTTAAGGACATTTAATCTCGTGGCGCTCTCGCGCATAAAAAGCACAGTAAGAAGCTGTAGAAATGGATAATAATATAAAACTGTAATAATACAATTGTAACATACAATTCTATTATTCCCCAAAAATATGGGTTTTGTCATAATTTATAGAAGCTGGGTTGTAATGTAAACGGCCTTGTTTAACTGGTGATGAAGGAGATCAGAATGATATAAAAAGTTCCAGAGTTCATTTCTGTCAATTGGCACACAATTATGATGTGAATAAAAACTATGTTCAACGCGCAAAATTCCTGCTCGGTTTATCCGTTTAGCACCTAATACATATGAAGTAAATGTATAACGAACACGTGGGTCAGAATCGTGTTTGGTACATGCTACTGGCTATAATCAGTAGCTAAATTGACTTCCGTTAGTGTGCTATTTGCATGGCCACATGAATATGTGATTGAAACGTGGACTTTCCCGACGCCAGATGGTTTGCTGTTGTTTCTTTTGGCTTTTAATCTATGCAGGTTGTAGGAGCCAGTATTCCACGTTAGCTAGTTTTATCATTTGCGATTCGACACTCAGCCCTTTCCAAAACACGCTCTCGGCACCATAGTTGAACCGGTAATGAAAATTCCTCATGCTGTATTCAACACTGGGAGACACTATTATAATCAAGGTGAGACGAACCTACATTTCGAATACGGTCATCCACGAAGCCGTATGCTCAGCTGTTCTCTGATCCTGGTGATCGGTTTGCAAATGTTCCGTCACCAACGGAAGTGACATCACGAGTGAATGATTTGGTCGGCAGTTCTCCGATATCTGCCTGATATTATGCGTCGATCAAGAGAGTGCTCATCTGCCCGGAATATGCCCAACAACATATTCTCTCTGAAAATGTAGTTACTGCATGTGGTCTGCATTACCTCCACTCAAGTGATTTCTCTCAACACCATTTTTCATGATCTGATTGATCGGTTACCGATTAATCTTGTGTCACGGTTTCCTCCTCCACATTTGGTTGGCTGTCAAACCAACTTCTGCGTGTAGTATTTCATCTTGATTGATTCGTTCTGATTTCCTGTTGTGCTGTATTCTGATTTTTTGGAGTTTGTTTGAGTGGAGGCTCTTTCTGTTGATAACACTGTTTGCTTCTTGCAAGGAAAATTACCGGCTTTGATTACTCAACTATCTTTCTACCTTTTTTCCTTTATCTCGCCAAACCACGTGCGGGATCGGAAACGGTAATACGGTTAGTCGGTAAGTACGCCCAAAGACCGGGTGACCAAGGATTGCGCCGCCATTCAGATAACACTCTTTGCGTCCTGCAAGGAACGTTATCACGCTTGATTACCTATCTATCTTTCTCTATCTCAGAAAACTACTTGCGGGACAGAAAACTCTGAATTCGTTAATACGCGCAAGGGGCGGGTAATCAAGGATTGCGTCGCCATTCCGAGTCCACAGAATGTATAACTGACCCGTCCACATGGCACCTAAGGCGAAACATGTATTCTGAAAGCTGAGGGTGTTACCGGTGAATGACGATACGGATTTGAGGGACTGCTATTCAGCCAATCGATAGCACTGCAAACGAGTTTGATTTTCGACCATCCATTACTCATGTTTGAGACAACACAATGAATAAAAACAAAACATCAATCCGAGCAAACCAAGGTCGACCCGCCCCAAGTTGTACACGTCCAAGCAGGTATTTGACCACTCACAACCGCGCGTTACTGAATAATTTCAAAACTCGGTAAAAGTAGCGATTGATGCCTATGGTATAAAAATAACCCTCCGTCTGGAAGTAATAAACCGGGTTTCTCTTGGAGTAAAGCAAATATTTTCGACTGCCTACTGGGAACTTTGCTTAAAGAGAATATGTGCCATATGACTTACGAAAATACCATCCACGCGTTTGGCTGAATTGCAACACTAGAATTCTAGCTGTGATCAGCAAGTGCATCAGAAATGTCTACTTCTGCGCGACCTCCCCTGTGCAACACACTCTTTCCCTGTTTTTCAGGTTTCGCATCACCTTCCAATACTTTCGCGAAGATATCCGGTTTGACGTCCTTAAAACTATAAACACGAATAATAAATATTTTTGTGACAATGTTGTTCTTCACACATATTCGATTCGCAATAACCATCTATTTACATTCTTACAAAGTACGAGAAATCTGGCCTCTGCTCGCCATCATCATNCTGAATAATTTCGAAACATTTTGAAAGTAGCGATCGACACATATGATATAATAAGAAGCCATAGTCTGGAAGTAATAAACCGGGATTCTCTTGGAGTAAAGCAAACATTTCCATTGCCATCTTGGAGGTTTACCTAAAGAGATCATGCGCCACATGGCTAACGAGATTATTAACCACGCGTTTCACAAATCCGAAAACGCTGATTTGTAACACTAGAATTCTGGCTGTGATCAGCAAGTGCAACAACAACGTCTACTTCCGCGCGACCTCAGCTTTTCAGTACCTTCCTCCCTTGTTTTTCAAGTTCCTTATCGCCTTCCAATACTTTCGCGAAGATATCCGGTTTGACGTCCTTAAAACTATAAACCACGAATAATAATATTTTTGTGACAATGTTGTTCTTCACACATATTCGATTCGCAATAACCATCTATTTACATTCTTACAAAGTACGAGAAATCTGGCCTCTGCTCGCCATCATCATTCATATTACTGTCACGACCGGTCGCTGAATGATGTGAACTTGAAACTTGATTGTTGCTGAGTTTGCCAAGCATGGCATTTTGATCAAACAGGTTGCCAAGACGAACTCTGATTGAAAACATTAGCCACCCCTGCATCATTGTCATTCGAATTCTGTTTTACAGTGGCGACTCCAGCAGGCTCCACAATTTCCGGAAAATAGTCAACGCATACACTTCACGAACGAAGCTCTGCATATGGGTACAAGCACGGATACAAGTTGTTCTTTTGACAAGAACGCTACTTTCGAAGGTTCAGATCGAACACTAAGCTGTGAAAATACCGGTAATACACTGAAGGCTTACTTGCTAGGCCGAAAGCAGAAGTGTGAACTCGGTCGCGGGCTGCTTCAGAATTCACTATGCCCTTATAACCAGTGCTCATTCAAGCGAATTAACCGTTCTAGAATGCAGTAAAACCAGTTAGTATGCTTTAGGGCTACTATTGTGTTTCCATAAGAAGAGTCATGTTACTTGCACCTTGTGTGACACAGTAAACAAATACATTTAATTTCTGCGCAGGGACATACTTTTCCGTGGTAGTCAATTACCACACCATTGTAAACATCTTCGTGCTCGTAGTCATTGAAAACATGGCCTGGAAACGGATTTCTGAGGTAAAAGAAATGAGAAGGAGCAGTGAACTTTTCGCAAATAATGACATGCAGTTCGAATGGAAAGACATGACAAAAAAGGAAAATTCTTATGGAAGCTTGTTCCCTGTACTCCCTGTAATGTAATTGGTTAAACTTTCACGAACATGAGTGCAACCTGTGTCACACAAGTAAATGTAAAATAACGATCTTCATCGCAACAATGATTTACTCATCCCACAATGATCCCGGTGGGCAGACAACATAGAACATTACAAATGTTTTGAAATGGCGATTCTTTTTGTAATTATACAGCAAAATCACCACAAGTAACTAATTATATGAGCATATCTCCACCCAGTGCCCTTGAATGCAATTCGGTTGCGCAGTAAACGACGTACGATTATTGAAACCTCGAAGCAAAAAGAACTTTTAAGATCAGCAGAATGTTTCCTCTACTGATGCTAGCAATCAGTTGTATTACAAAATGTTAAGACTTCTAGGTTGTCCGCTTTATCCTCCATCCAAATCATCAGCCGGCTGATTCACTCAGACGACATTTTGGTATCGATGTTGTTAATTTCAGACTACTGACAATCGAACCAGTTATAATTTGCACTTCACCAGCAGGGACATTCCACAATGACTGCAATTTAATCTGGTGTCGACTGTGTCGATTACATCAGGTTGATATGGCGTTTGCTGTCATGAAATGCAATAAAAGTTTGGAAACTTTATGATATATCTCAAGTGGCGCACAAAAACACACAATTTACTCCAACCCGATTCCATTCACGATTTATATCCGCAAAAATAAGACAAGTTAAAGCCAAATAGAGAAAAGCGAATTCTGAAGTCGAGTTACTACCAGACTAATGGATTAGTTACCATCAGATGCCAAATATTGTACGTGATATTTACTTGGGATTGTTTGCAATATCGTCGTAGGCGAAGGTGATTATATTCTCCGCTGGAATTTTGTTTGCACGCAAGACGTGGTAGGTGTGGAAAACGTTCGCCTGAAGTAAAATACAAACGGAAATAAAGTCGAGGAAGTTCAAGAAGGCAAGATGTTTCCCGTCGCGGAGGCTGAAATCAATAGTTTGGGATTTTCAATCTGAAGCATAGACTTGTCAACACATCCAGGTTCACCATGCAATTGATGCATCCGTATTGAGAATTATCTCTAATTCATGCTTTTACGGGGAGTCAGGAACCCGTTACTCTTCGACAATCACTAGGTAGCTGAGCCGATTGCCTACCAGCAGCTTATTATGTTGCGCCGCACCCACTTGGGGAGGCGCTTTGATGGGAGTGTGGTAAATCCAAACCTATTATCAACACTGATTAGCTGCATCAGTTTTTTCGGACACAATCACATGAGACAAGTTCCGTTCATGGCTGATAAATCAGCCCTCATGAAATGCTTTAGTGATAATCCGCCAGAGCTGACTTTCAAACCCCTTGAGAATAACAAATAAAGTGCGTTAATTTTGCATCAAAATGGTGTGAATTCAATGCGAAAATTTATCCCGAGAGTGCAGTGTTGATTTGCCCGGATGCGAAAGTCCCAAATGCTTTGAATTTCCAAATTCAATCAAAATCAAACGAAATGTTCCATCACAACAATGTGTTTTTCCATGAAGCTGAAATAATGATGAGTGTTCATCATGTGATTTTGCATCGGACTTCACGACATCGTTCAGCCTGACCTCCATCGATCGATAATTTAAACATAACGACTTCTAGAAATCGTTATGCGTATGGCAGATTGATAGATGGAGGAATGAGGAGGGTTCCTTATTGAGTGCTTTTCGACTGTACACAGCGCACTCCCTGTGGTGTTCCTTCTTGAGGTGTCCCAGAATTGATGTGGCCCCTGGTGCCTCGTTGGCTAGGTTACGACGGTTGGTCATTTCTTAACAAACATCCTAATGACCATGGCTAGCACACTTGGTTTTGGAAGATGCTTCATCCACTGCCCTTCTAGATGAAACGAACATGTGAAAGAACCTCAAAGGGTGTTCCAATTCGCCTGTTGACAATATTGACCCTCGAATTGAAAATATGTTGTATCTGGGTCTTTCAGAGAGAGATTTGACCTCACAGCCTGCTGGCGGTTTGTGCGCCTCAACAACCCACTGAGTAGTGTATACGCGACGATCATAGAGACTTTCATACCAGATTGGTTATTTGAACGGTTATCATCCATGTCGGGGGTTGATACTTCGCCTCCGACTGTCTGCACAATCCACCACCAATCTGAAAATCCACTAGCGCAACTAGGCTCTTGGAATGGAGGCCTTAATCGAAAAATCAAACGGCCTATTATATCTTTAACGGCGGATAAGACTGATTAGGCGTGCGAGTCGTTTGTTGACCTCTCAGAGCACCACGCCTCCCCCAATTGAAGCTGAATTTTATTACTGATTTGTGCGACTGCTTTACGGTTTTTGCTTGCAATAGCGTAAATTTAACTCTCCTAATTCTCGTGAGAATTTTCCGTTTCCGAAAATTATCAGTAAATAGGATGTTTTCTTTTCGGTTCAATAGGTTGTAGCTGCTCAGTTGGCGTTTGCGAATAAATGTACTTCCCGTTGAAGGGTATCCCCCCTTACACTGGTAGTAGCACAGCCTAATTTCAAGTATGGATCGCACGCTTACAAGTAATCCCACGTCACATCGACCACGACTGGTGTCATTAACTCGGTTGTCTTTTCTGCAGTACACCACGGGGCGAGTAAGCGAGTAAGCCATAGACGCTTATAATAATTCTTCAGTTTGTCCATCTTTAAAGTTTGCACTCTGAAATAAGCTGCGCAGCATACTTGTTCGCCGGACACGCTTGCCGTTTTACCGATATGTGTATAAAAATCCCGTCACGGTGGCTGTAATGAGTTTTCATGCGTTTCCGCTTGTTTTCCTTTGCGTTCCTCTGGTAATCCGGCAGCCTACGGTGCTTGTTATACTGGGGCTTGTATTGTGCTAGGTCCCTGAACCGAAGGCCTTCTCATTGAGTGACCTACCGCATTGATGGTAGACCTTTTGCAACACTTTGTGGAATAACCAGAACAAAAGCCCGTATATTATTGTGGATGTCGAAGACATTATTGGTCAGTTAGGCAGACTTTGCGTCTCCGCGATTCGTTTGGGTGGGTGCAGAAATAAATTTAAAATGCACGGACCACGGGGACGCCTGAAATATTTACACGTTGAAGACGGGCGGAAGTAAATTCCTGAACAACAGAGGCCGCCTCACCATGTGGCGCCCGTTTTACAAAGTCCACCAGGCAGCACAATCACACCACATCGACGTTAGCCATACGTGGCGTCGCTCGTAAGACGGCACCTGTGTAAACCCGGATCAAAGGCATTTTCGACGATCGCTGTATTTAAATGAGGAATACGCCGCAGGTGACCATTGCGAAGACTCTAAAGCCTAATGTTAAAGAAGCCTTCCATAACCAATCTTAACGTCGCTTCCGGACAAGCCGACTTCTGATGATAACTTCTATTAGAATGTGTTGTCTGCAAGATACTGATCACCACGCTTGTGGAATGGTGCATCAAAGTAGATGCGCCTACTGAACTCGGCCAACGCTCCAAATTCCTTCGAAACTTGGACAAGTTTTTTGTTCGGCAGAGAGCACAATATCATTCAACGAACAGTGAAACTTCTGGTAAGAAAACAACACCTGCATGGGTTGAGAATCTTTGTGAACACGAGAGGTGGACGAAGGAAGAACCTCTTGTGTTATGCTTTTCCTATGCCAGCTTATACACGCAACTGGCCCAAACTGGCCTTTCATGAGCCACGCTGATACATGATACATGATATGATACATGAAGTATCATAAGAGTAAATATTTTGAACAATTATTCGACTGATTTACTGTAGTTTCTCAACTGCAGTCATGACAGTGATCGTGCAACCCCGTAGGCTTTAGAAATAATTGGTTGCATTTTCTTCCTCAACTTTCATCAACCAGCTGGTCGCAACCAACGAGAAATCACTCCAATCGATCTTGGCGGTGAAATACATTGTCCATGTTTGTCCAACTCACATTTTCGTGGGCAGGGTAGAAACAGTCTATCAATCTGATTTAACTTGATGAAGTCCTAATTGAGTGTATCTGTCACCGAGGAATTAGCTTGACTTCCGTTGCGACAAGAACGTTTCCTGTGCCTACTTTATGTCGTTTAACTAGGGAATTCAAAGACAGGCCTACAGGTAGCGGGATTCCAGGTTTCCCGGGATTGTGTGGACGAAGTGTGAGAACGATGACATGCGCACTCGCTGAAACTTATTATTGGCTACAGACACACACAATATGGGTATCCGTTTTGCATACGATTTTCATATAACCCCTGGCAAATACGGCACGATTAAACGAATGAATTCCACCACGGTCTTGTTCTGCGTTTACTTCAAATAAACACTACTTGGTCTTACCAAGTATTCAAGAAATATTTCCTCATATTGTATGTAATTTCCGGTGCCCTGGGAATTGATCTGTTTGACCCAACAAATAATGTCGCTGCAACGTGAGCGGTTTTGTTGAGATTTCTCAAATATCATAGCACGACAAGGAAAATTCTGTCAAAAGCGAACATAGGCCAAGGGATGCGTACCCGTTGGTAGTAGATTTGATAAACCGTCGTTTTCAGTTCAGCATCACAGCCATATACATAATTCGGTAGAACACAAATGTTTGGGGACCATTAGTGCCAATACCCCTTCGAAAACCATTTCATGTGGAATGTGGACAAAAATTGGGTTGCCGAATCGAAAAAACACCTACTGAGACGTACTTGATGTGGATAATTTTTCCATGTTTTAGAAACAGCTATAAGGACGGCCCAGTTATTTGACGGTTCGTTGTTAAATATCGATGACCAGTTGTGGACGCCGGCAGTTTCCACCCATGCAACGTGGTCCATGCCGAACAAGAACGCAATAAGAAGCAGACAACGGCGCATCATTTTCAGTCTTCCTTGAAGCTCCATATGCCCGAAACTGTATGCTATGCGCCTCTTCTAAATCGGAGTTTGCTTTAAAATGTATGGCGATAGAGTGAAATGCTATCCGCCATAAATGTGATAGCAATGCGGTATAAAGTTTTTGCTAACCAGGGTAACATCGACCTTTTTGAGCACCTTGTTCAATTTCTTCCAACGATGTCCTCACGTTGGTGATTTGTGGTATGTTAGGATGAATGTGGATCATTCCATTGAGCACCTATGCGCTGCAGACACTACTGAGCAGCAAAAGGTCCTCAAAAGGTTTCACGTATCACTTCGCTTCATACCTGCATTCGCTGATAACTGTGGTCAATTGTGATATTGATACGGTATTTTTATGTTAAAACCGCAAGAGAAATCTTTGTGTTTGCAGTAGGTCAGCTTAAAATTCGACCAATCATTTAGACTCACGGAGTCAACTTCTCAAAAGCTGGGTATTTACTAAATGCCTAGGTCGATGGTCACACGACGCTTCTGGTTGCCATTTGTAGGTGTAATCGAATTTCAGGCCAAACCAAGAACCAGGAAACTTACTTTTCTCTATGAATTTAGTTTATATAAATTACAAGGACCTGGACCAGTTAAATGTTGCTTCGTAGTTTGCCAATTTTCTGTAATATTTAGTTTCATGTTTTAGAATGGGTTTGCACGTAGCAGGATTTTCTTTTCTAGTTTGATCAGCAAGCGATAATAACACATCACCATATTTAATGGAATTTAGAATGCCTATCTCAACATGGTGAGCATTTAGAATTCTGGGCGTCTGGGGTTACTTCAATCAATGTACGTTGATTTTTACGGTGAGGAACAACCATGATTTGTTTGAAAGCATAGCTATTGAAGAAGCAATAAATGAAGTCAATGAAAGCACTGCGTGCAAGCTGACTGCAGTTAGGTGCCTACATCTCCATGCATTGATTCAGGCTAGCTGGAGTGAGAATGACAACAGGAACGCGAGAGACATCAATTAACAAACCTATCCGGCAGCCTCTCCAACATTGGTGTTTGCGAAGAAATGAATAAATGTAGACAATGAGTGGCTTATTGCTAGCTCACTCCAATCATTC